CAGTCAGGTCTGTCTAGGTTACGTCATTAAGTTACGGCCAATCAGATTAAGCGTCATCTCAACGAAGACCTGAGATCATTGACCTTTCTTGGGGGATGGTATACTTCGGTCCCAACGGACCCGCTCAGGGACTCTCCGGTACGTGCTGTCCGACGCGCCGCGCCTCGAGGAGGAGGGCGCCCTCGCCTTCGTCGGAGGAGCGCGGCGCTACAATATCATACGTGAATGGTACATGGTACGGTATGCACTTCATGTTTCAAAAATTAACTAGGGTCATCAAGGAAATCTGGAGGATTCAAGAGTGTTGTGTGTCATTTCAATTACCGAGTTCCCTACCGGTAGGTTCCTTGATACGTATCTGCAAAGCATACACAGTATGGAACGTATGTACTGTAGCAAGCTCAGTTGAGCCCCCATCGTGCTTATTACTCATCATGTTAGATTGATTCTGGAGGAGAAGCTTGGCTTTCTGAGCGCCCCTCTTTCCTCCCTTCCTGTCTACAGGTGAAGATAAGACTCGGGGGCTTGACGTCTGAGGAAGTTGGCAGACTTAATCGCTTTACGAGTACATGCATGTATATAAGGTGCCAACTCATGAATCCGTATTTCCAAGTTGTGATATGTAGCGCAGCCGACACATGTTGCATTGTACATGTGCAATGTACGTGTACATGTTCACCTACTGGACATGTATGCACTGAGTTCTCCTCGTGATCTGTTTCATGGGTTGCTTCAACTGGTTGTCAAAATATACTTTCAGCTTCAGCTTTGAGTCTGACTGATAGACATCAGAGCTGTTATGGCTTATCCAGTCTAATGGCAATCCAGAAGATTTCTGGCAGGAAATGGCCAACTTTGTGAATAGGGACTTGGAGAAGCTGAAATACTTTGAGTACTTTGTTTGCTACTTTCCTGGTGGGGTAAGTTGCCACATATGGGATATATGGGTAAATTTGTCTTTGGCCGTGAGGTTTGGGATGATGATTTGGGCAAGACAACGTTGAATGGTGGATCAGGGTATTTTGGCTTTTGCTGCTTTTTTTGCACATTAGCAAGGCATGATGGGTAATAGAAGGCTGGATTCTGATCATGCAAATGTTGCCAAAGTTCCTAACTTCTTGGAGCACGTCTACAGTGATAAATCGTTTGCTAACATTGGCTGGTTAGCCTCTTCGATAAGCATGGAGAAAAAATCATACTCGTACAGGTCATACTCCTGTGTAAATGACGGAGTTTGAAATTTGTGTGAAAAGTTTACTTACAGGAAAGAAATAGGACAATAATATGTGGATTCACACCGGTCTGTTTATGGCAGGTACACGTTGCATCAAGGTCTGTTTTGAGAAGTTTGTTTCTAACACAATATTCCAAAGGTGAGCAGTGAAACACCAAACCGGTGATACTACCGTACGGTACATGGATCAAACTTGTTGGCGCATCCTGTTTGAAAGATTAACAAATTTGGGTGGTCTCTCGGTGAAATTATTCAAAAGCTACATGTGTGAATTTTTATGTACAATGTACATGTATACTAGTACCATATTTGTAGAACATTTCAGGCATTAAAAGGTGACTTGGACCCAATATAATGCTACAGTACCGACATACATACATACATTTAAAAACAAAGGCTTCGCTACCAGTAATTCTAAATTCGAAGCAAAACAACATGTCCTAATGCTATAAATACATGTTCATGTACATGTATGGACATGGTATGTGGGTATGTTCATAACATTCTGTGTGAATGTCTCGTGAAAAAAAACAGAACTTCATGGGGGCCCGTACATGTATGTACATGGATGTGTATACATGTACCGGTGTAACCCCTGATCTCTGACCACGAGGAGGTCCATCTCACGTAGATGTACTGTAGCTCGAGATGAGTTTCATCATTTTGGTATGTCCATTTTTGTATTGGTGTACAAATACATGTACCAGATGAGGAGAGGTACTGGTACAGTGTACATATATGTACAGTACATGTACCTTAATTGAATAACTTGCCCAAAGAATAAATATAGAAACCACAATTCAAAGTGGGTTCAAACCCACTTATCTGTACACACTGTGTATGTACACCGGTGCGAGTACATTTACATGTATAGTATTGGTGCATGTCTGAAGCTACAATGTACACTGTATGTAAATTGCAATGGCACTCTACATGTACACTGTACATACATGAACAGTACATGTAGGCGCGTGTACGTATACATGTGCATTCCTACACCTCAGCTGTGCTTGCAAACTTGGGGTTTTGGCAGCTTGGCCAATCTGGCTTTTTTTGGAAAGCATTGAGTCAGGCTCCATTACATTGAGGGTTAACGAGGCAAAGTATGGGCAGAGGATTACAGCTCCATACCCTCCCCCTTCCTCAGCCAAAGACTTCCATGCACACGTGTAAGGCATACATGTACATGCAGGCCTGAGTCATAAATCCAGTAGTTGGATTATAAGTATCAAACTGTTATCCTTAGACTATAGGGAAAACAATAATGTACAATATGCATGCAAGAAAGAACTCCTCATAAGAACTGCCTGTAAGGTACAGTGTATGTACATCTACTTGTACCGGTACTTGTACATTTTTGGTCGACGCACATGTTAAGATTTTTTGGATTTGCATTAAAAACGTGAAACAATTGAAAAAGTAACAATTTATGATTAACTTGCACTATGCAGATATACATCCATGTACATGTTCATGTATATACATGTACAGTACAAATTACTACATGTACATGTACATAGCGGTACTAGTAGAGACTGCATGCTAAAGAACTTACTGAGTCAGTGGGAAAATCGTTTAACTAGTGTCTAGAAATAAGCCTTACATATAGAAATCTCGTCTTAAGGTTTCAATTTTACAGAAGAGAGCAGAGCAAGGACTCAATGCAGCAGTGGCATACTAAATGTTGTTGTCAAGACTCAAGTACATGTTCAAAACGAGTACTCAGGTCCTCTTCCATATGTTGAACTGGTTGAGAGGGATCAAAGCTGTTGTTATGGATGTTGGCTGGTAAACGCTCAAAGATGTACAATGTACATGGGGTATGCACGTGTAAGGTGGTTGAGAGGATCAAAGCTGTTTTTATGGATGTTGGCTGGTAAACGCCCAAAGATGTACAATGTACATGGGGTATGCACATGTGTTTTACAAAGCCAGGAATGTCTGAAGTTTACATAATACTGGTACCTTTGTGCTTTTACCTTGCAAGGTCCATTGCTCTCCAGCTTTGCTCCCCGATTTGACTATGAACTTGAAGTGTTCTAGTCAACTGCAACACTGATGGCAAACTTATTCTTTGAAATAAATACATACATCTGTTACTCAGATGACAGAAAAGATTCTCAAAGTTGACGGAAGATACTGGTAGGCTTTTAAAAAAAAATTGAGCTGTATTTAGGCATAGAACTCATATTTAGATTACTTTAAAACAGATTCTTTGAATAATTGTAACTTACATAAGTATGGTAGTATATACTGGTACCGGTACTCATGTACACGAATACATGTACACATATACAGAGTGTATGGTACAGATGTGCTGGTACTCTGTACCAGCACTTGCAAATCATACACATGAATTTAGAAGGTGAACGGTGCTGGAATCCTCAGTGAGTGCAATGTACATGTACATACAGTGTACATACCGCATGAACAATGTACACACCCTCTATACTGTACATACCTGTATACTGGTACCAATTTTGCACGTACTGTTTATGACTTTTGTAGTGGTACAAGGCCTGCAAATGTGATCAGCTGTAAGAACGCTGCTGTTGGATTCATTTAACACTGCAGTCACATCAGTGGCTGGGTCTATCTGTTGGGCTCAAGCAAGGGTCAAGAAATATGAGAATATCCATTTTGTGACAGGTGTATGTACATGTAGGTGTGTGCAAGCAGGTCTACATGTAGCTTGACAAACATGACTGTCTGGGGACGTACATGTAGCATTGGCAAATGTCCAACATATTGCCCAGGAAGCTAGTACATGGTACATGTAAGCCACATTATGCACAGTGGTACAAAAATTTATGTTCCTGAAGCTGCCCTCGGTGACACAGCAGGGTTCCCATTCCAAGTGGTGTCCTTTTTAAAAATAATTGCTGAAAGTTAGTTTGTCAGCACAGGTTTGTGTGCAAGTGAATTTCTTCTCATTTGCATTACATGTATAAGGCTACATTTTCACCTGACATCAAATTTTCATGAAATTAATTGTATGTGCCCTTGAATTGAACTTGAAATACATGTATAATTAATGTGTATGTACAGCAATGGGTATTTTTTCTTCTGAGCATCTTATTGTAATTACATACCTCTGTTCAAAGCTAAACATCCATAGATGCCTGTCACATGATACCTGAAGAATTAACTTGAGATTACACATCAGTTGAAAAATGCGCATTTCAAAAATGTACTGGTCCCATGCATGGAAGGCTGAGGCCAAAGCTTACTTGCACTTACGGTATGTAAATATTTGCTAGGCATTCTGTATAATGTAGGTTTACTGGTTCAGTGCCAAGTGGGCCATACAATGTATGCAATGTGCAGCCTACACCCTGCTCGCTTGTACACAGTACATGTACATCTACTGTACGTAAAAAAATTTACTAAAGTTTTCAAGTGGCATGCTGGCTTTTAAACCGTAGTATTTAGGGTACTCCGGAACATTATTAGCTTACCTGTGAAGCCATGACATTTACGATCGGCGTCGAGAGTCCAACTCCTACTGTCACCATGTACATACATGTACATGTATATAGCATCACTTGGCGGCATTTCATTTTTAGCAAATAGATTTTACATGCACAGTGCACACAAGTTCAGCATGTAGGCAAGAAATTTTCTTTTTTTGCTGGTACCATTTGGAGTTCATAACCACCAAATTTATGTATAGTCTTGTCACTGTGTACGGTATGTAATTGCCTGGCGGGCCTACACTACTTCTACTACTACTTTTCCAGTGCATGCTCGCTTTAAAACCATTCAGACAGAACTGGCTGAGTTACATGTATTTAATTTCAGAACAGTTGAAACAAACTGGAACCATACATGTACTGTATTCTTCCCTGGGATGTGTGTCCACTGTTGGGCCTCCTGGTGTGTTGATTTTAATTGTCAGGGAACAGTTATTCTCCGGGAGTATAAGCTGCTTAATGACAGGCCTGATCCTGGCTGGTTGGAATAGTCTACAATGTATGTACATGTATTTGAAGTTAACAGCGATCAAAGTCAGTACCTGATGATTAGGCCATGACAAAAAGGTCATGCCAGTCAGCCTGGTGTGATTATGATTGGCGTGGGCTGGTATCCCAGGCTTGATTTTCATCAGAGTGGCTTCTGTCTTCACCAGGAGTACCCTACATAAAGTGATTCCCGCCTGCAACAATAGGGATCACTCACATGTTGATTCACTGGCGTTCAGTTGGGAGTGGCGTCAGTGGGCCTTACAGCAAGACTGGCTTAATTAATGTTGTGGATGGATTGTCAGCAGTGCCATCTTGAGTGGATACTCCAGTCTTCATGTGTGGACATTTTGAGAAATCATCAGTTGACAGTCAAAATTCTGCATCTTGTATCTTTGGTTGGGAAAAAAATCAAATGGAATTTACCAGTTCATCCATTTCTGAGGAAACATGCACATAAATTGTACAGTACCTGTACTTAGTACGTGTTCCATTTGTACATGAATGATTAGACAGAAAATGCACCCTTCTGGATATCAACAAAGGTTTTTCCATCTGCATTCTCTTGATAACATGTTGTCTGCAAAGATCTTGGCAGTCTGGGCACTGATTTGGAAAGAAATCTGATTGTGTTCATAGTTAGGTACCGGTACCTGCAGTTGGGCTTGAAGCTGAAGGCTTCTTTGAATAATTTTCTTTTATGCTCAGTGCAAGCAAGAATGCCATAGGCTCGGTGAGGTATACGTATATAAATGCAACTTCCATCAGACTTGCTTGTTAGGAATATAGTACACACAACTGAATGGGGTACGTGCTGGATTTACCGGTTCATGTAAAATTGAATGACCTCAAACACTTGTTGTTAGCCATAATTCCTGCATCAACCTTCTCGCAACAACATAAGTAAGCTGGTTGTGCTGCCGATACAACAAGAAGATATTATCGCAGTGACATTTTCAGTGATGTAACCTCTGCTGTCAGAAGTGTCTGTGGTTTAGGAATAATAGACACTGCATGTTGAAGTACAAGGCTGGAGTAAATTGTGAGCAGCTAAGAAACTTCAGTTCAGCAGCAGCAACGTGTAAATTCTCTGAACCTAATAGAATACCTGTTGTGTGGAAATACGTGGTCTTTGCCAGAAGTCTTCTCGAGGACTTCTTTCCGAGTTTTTTGGACTGTCAACCCATCTTGAAAGCCAAGAAGAACCACCATCGAAGCGTCTGTGCACTGAGGGGAGGGGACAACACTGTACTGGGATGATATTTATTCCAGACTGGAAGTGAATTAAATATAGAGTACCGGTAGCTTACAAAGGGAAAGCACAAGTGGAAATTTTCTGCCAACTTTGACCTCAGCTTCCACATGTTTTCTCAATTCAGCTCTGTCATGAGTCTCATATTTCACCTGTGGATCCAGTTTCCTGGAGCCTCACATGATTCCCAATAACTAGAAATCATTCAACCACCGGAACTTGGTAGATCTCTCTCATCTGTACAACGGGAGAAAGGATCCTTGGTGACAGATCAGCTTGGAGTGTTATTTTTTCCAGTCTGACCAGCATTTTGAATCATTGATTGTGGAATAATAGTTTTGTACGAAAATGTCTCTGGACTGGGCTGGCAGATCTGTCAACTACACCGTTGTTGATACAGTGGTGTACTGCAAAGTGAGTACCACTATCAATTTGTCCTATTCCCATATCCCTTAACCCTAACCCCCTCAGGGCGTACATTTATGTAAATCATATCAAAATTGAGGACTATTACAGATAATTAGGCCTATTGGTACAGGTGTACTGTACGTGTACATTAAATTTAGACAATTTACTTTTGTAATCGGAACCCAAAAGATTGACCATGAAACTCAAACAAATAAAAAGGGAAATTTCATCCTACTGTTCATGTTGCTTTGTAAACTTCCAACATCATCTGTGTTTACCTCTATAACCAATCTGAATCTTCTGAATTGACATTTTCTGTACTATTTTGAAGAACTCTGTTGTGTCGAGCCATCGGCCATTGTTGCTACATGCAAATGAACAATAGAAATGAGGAACAGTTCAAACCCTAACCCCTAGGGTGAATGTAAAATCATATTGACATTGGAGGACTGAGGAGTGTTAGGGAGAAATTTATATCATGTTAATGAACTACAGTACACACATGCATGCATTCCTCGAGAGGTTTGTATTGAGATTTTTAAAATACTTTTTCTGTATGGTCTTTATTCATTAATTTTCCCAATTTGACATTAATTATTCCATACTTACACTACAGTAATACACGTACATGTACCAGTAGGCCTAATGTGGGTGTGAGTTTGTATACACATGCAAATCGTGGACCTGTAATACGGGACAATAGGGAGCACGTTTGCCGAAGAGTCCACGGTTGGAAAACGTGTACAAAACATATGGGAGGTCTTCCGAAAAAGTTAGAGTACATGTATGAACAAAAGAGGAACAGTAGGGAGTCCATGATTGAAGGCGTTTACACACTTGTATGGGTGTGCGGGGTGTGAAGACACAGTGTACATGTACAACATGTTCCTGCACATCGTGTACTGTAGCACATACATGTACAGTATGTGTACACCCACATGTATGCACAACGAGAATGTGTAAACTGGATGTACACTGTACGTGTACACCTGTACATGTATGTACTAGTACATGCATACTGGTATACATATGTACATGTACCAAATCGTGCCTACCATATGGTTTAGTTGCAATGTATTTGGTGATCAAGATGCTCAGTAGTGAGCAGAAGAGGACGATTAATCATAATTTTACTTTCATCCTTTGATTCAGTTAGTAATTATTGGTATTATGTAACAGGTGGAAATGCTACTGCAGTAGTGGTACTGCACAACAAACAAGTGCATTCATGGAACATCTATGAGCCATTTGAATACTGGACCTGTAATGGTAACCTTGTTACTGGTTATGTGCGTAGCCTCCATTAAGGCCTACCAATCAAATTGTCGGACCACATGACTTTTAACTATACTGTATATTACTGTTCATGATGGTGAAATACCGGTACATGTAGAAACTACATGTATATTGTTTCTGCAGGTGTAGGACCTACATGTACTTGAAATATAATTATACCCAGCCAGAAATGATACCGAAGAAGACAGAACCTGTGTGTGTAGCAGTGCTACATGCTACACAGACTGTTTAGTCAGGTGATATGCAATAGGATATAGGCACAGCCGATCGGATGGTCTAAGAACCAAACCTTCAAGTGCACACTAATGCTACACAGTGCTACACGAAAAAATGAAAAAGGAAGGGGCCAGGGCGTGTAGCAAAAAAGTGCTACACCATAGACTTGTACACGAACCCGGTGCTACACAGTGCTACATGGGAAAATGAAAGGGAGGGCGGCCGTGGCGTGTAGCAAAAAGTGCTACACCATAGACTTGTGCACAAACCCGGTGCTACACAGTGCTACACGTGAGTCAGACATGTCAGAGGAAAACGTGCTACGTAAAGTTTCGCGGGTGTTCTGTTTTGTTCTACGCAAATGCGGATATGTGATGCTTTCGCAGCGTACCTGTGAACTTCTGCTCATTAATGCACATGCTCAGTTCTGCAGCGGTGTAGCGATGCTACAAGGAAGACCATGTGGATTCGGCTGTCTCATTTCTGGCTGCATATGAATGTAATCCTAATCCCACAGTACATTGTACATTTATGTACGGTACATGTACATGTATAGAGTTGCATAGGCCTACTGTGAAGATTTAGAGTGTACCGGTACTGTACAGGTGTACATAGTGTACATACATGTACATGTAGTACGTTAAGGGAATTGTAGGGCTGAAGAACTGAAGAGGGGAGCTTAATATGCTGAGAATGTCGACAGTCGCACATACTTGTACATGTACATTCATTGCCAGATGATGTTTGTTCAAACTTTGTTGCAAGTACATGTACCGGTATGTACAATTGGTTTGTCATTTGAAGTAAATGAAAAGGTCAGATTGAAACTTTAAATTGAATATAAATGGACTGTACTATTGTACACGCACATTGTAACTAACAACAGATAAAATGTATCGTTTTAACTCTAGTAGATTGGATAGTTGCATACCAACTGCATATGTACATATTTGTATTGACATATTTAAAAATGTGCACATGAACAAAATGCAAGTCAAGTTGAAGATAAAAATTAGATTAGCATTTTGGGTGTGTTAACCCTATCCCCCCTAGGGCGTATGTAAAATTGTATTGAAATTGGAGGATTTGGGAGTGTTAAGGTTAATGTGTACTTGATACCGGTTCATGTACGGGTATTGTAAGTGCGGTGCACAGTATTCTGAGTTTTCTGACAGGGGATCACTGATCTGTAGATCACCTTCTGACACCTTCTAAATAGAGTGAGTGTCCTCCTTTAGGTACCTATCATTTTAAACAGGAAACACTGAATTATTTTAGGAGATCCTTTGGACAACTGACATTCCAAATCGGGCCAAGTATTGACGGGATGATCCTGTGATGTACCATTTCCTTTCCATGAGCCCTTTAGCGTGAATCACGGAGTCAGGATTTTCTGGTAAAGTTCATTCACACCACCTGTGCTTCAGCCAAATTTGGGATTCAGTTTGCGAAATGCTGTGACCTTTTTAAATGTAGGGTTTGGGGTTATATTGGTTGAAAAAATGTTAACCCCTAAGTTTGTAGAAAATAGCAAATGTGCATGATATTTCAAGGCATTTTTTTCAGTGTTCCGAAGCAGTTACATGTACAGGTAGGCCTATGAGTGTTTAGTTGGACCACAGAATGGATGTGTTGGTGTAAAAGCACAACATTCACATGTTGCAAGAAAAAAGTTGCCCAAGCTTCATAAGCTTGAAGGATAGTGTTGTGAACGAAAGAGCCTTTAATCTGATCCTTGACTACCGGTATCTCAACCAACAAATGACCAAGGATCTTGTTTTGTGTCTCATGGTTTCTGAACTCGAAGTAAGTACCATCATCGGGTTTAATCTCACACCACATCTCGCATTGTGTAGTGAATCCCTCAGAACTCGGATGATAGCAATAGCTTAACGTGTAGTTCTGGCATTTTATATCCTTGCCTTGGTTGCCCCAGTGTAGGCCTTGGTGTCTTTGAAACACTCTAACAGACATTCAAAGAAACAATAGAGGTGCCCCAAACAATGGGAAATATTGGCTGTCCACCCTACATATATTGTATGCAGGTACATATAAACTATTCTAGCCTTGTCCTCAAGGTCACAAATCTGTATCTTTGTGCATGTACAAATGTATAACCATACACCCTCACCTTTGTACAGTATACACATGTACAGTGTTCATGTACATGTATGTCAGTATACATGTACATTGTACATGTACTGTACACACTGGTACATGTAACAGTAGGGTAAAAACTAGGTTGTATAGGGAGATTATTGGTTGCAGGGTGGGGTGATGTATGTGTACTGGGTATGGTGGTTTAATTGGACTTTTTAATTTTACAGGTAAATAGACTTTTGAGCTTATCTTTTAATCCCATTTTTAGGAACTACTGGCAACTGATGGATGATCCAAATTTGCATACAGTACATGTATAATTGATAAATATCGGTTGCCCTCTGCTAAAAAAAACTTAAGCTGAAAGTAAAGCGTTTCAGCAACCTACAGGTAGAAGAAGAAATGGCCTTTTCAAAAGTCTTTTTGTCCCATGCACTCCCCATGTGCTACATATATACGTACATGTACCTCTGCTGATAGTAATAAATTTGACTTGTAGATAAATTCTTAGCATGGTACCAATACATGTGCATCTATGTACCTGTACATTAGCTACCATAACGCGGCTACCATTTAAGGGGAAGAGGGAGGGAAGGGGATGCAGAATACCCCTGGATAGCATGCACTTAGTGGGCTAACAATTTCTGTCAGCTGTCAATCACCATGGCTGCCACCCAAGTGCTAAACAATTTGTAAACTTTAACTGTATGATCTTGAGCCGTTGGTGAAGAAAAACTTGTGCACTGTACCAAAAAGTACCTTTAGTGATTGTAAAACTTGTACCTGTACAGTGTACATGTAGCATGTAGCTTTGATTTATTGAATATATGAGCTTGACCTTGGTTAACATTTACAATGTACATCATGTTGATACCATTTTGATTTAAGTTTCTAAGTACCTTTCTGCCAGTATTTGTTTCAGGTTGGTGTTCCACTGCATGATCTGATAAAGTATGTTGATTTTGACCTGAACAATTCTCGCCCTCCTTTCTTACCCACAGGGTGCCCGGGTGTGGGTACGTGACCCCGACAGTGTTTGGCAAGGAGGGGAGTTGAAACAGGACTACAAAGATGGAGATAGAGTTGTCAATATTGAACTGGAGGATGGAAGTGTAAGACAGATATAGGAGGGCTACTCCTTCGTTTAACGTATCTCTCCGATTTACAAAAGTTCAGCCAAAAAAATTATTGTTGAGAATTTTCTTACATTGAAGAATTATGGGAAAAATGAAAACTGCTGCACTGAATCACTTCATATATTGAACTCTTATCATTGCTTCAGATTCCAATGATGCAGGTGAAATATTTAGCTGAAATGATGTTTAGAATTGTTTTTGGTTTGTTACTTTATACATGTACATCAAGGGAAATTAATCAGTTCTTGTCATTCTGTACCCGGAAGAAATTTTCCATGCTTGTGTTCCCTTTGAGCAGAATTATTAATACTTGCTGCCCATAGATATTCACTCCTTACATTATGTACCTGTATTGATGTTTGAATTTTTTCTCATTTTAATGTGAACTAAATAGGTAAGTGTATCTTTCTCTTGATCTTTAAAAAACATGCACTGATATTCATGTGAATGTATCCTTATTAATGTCTCTTTACATTCCTTTCCTATGAATAATTAATCAGGAGAAAACCCTTCAACTGAAGAACAAAACTGACCTTCCTCCTCTGAGGAATCCAGATATTCTGATTGGTGAAAATGACCTGACGTCTCTGAGTTATCTCCATGAGCCTGCAGTGCTCTTCAACCTCCACGAACGCTTCATTCAAAACAATGCCATTTACACTTACTGCGGTAAGTTCAAAAGGGCCAATTTTGAATATTCAAGTTGGCTGGACCTATGTAATATATGGATGAGCTTCGAGTGCACTATGTTGTCATGTAACATTCCTAGTCTTCATTAGATTTCTTAGCTCAGTTTCCTGAGTCCCAGTCTCTGCACCACATTTGTGAACATATAAGTCAATACCAGATATAATCACATGCATTGCAAGTGGCAAACGGCAACACCATGGTATGGAAACACGGTGTCGATTCTCTTCATTGACTCTTGGTGTTATGCACTGGATATTTCATAATAATAATAATATTTGTATTTATAAAGCGACTTTAACACGGATCAAAGCGCTCTACATCATTATTACCCCTGTTCACCTGGCCCATGAAACATTCCTAATATCATCTTAGCTCCCTGGGAGTATACAGCCAGTTTGAAGTTTCACATGCCACGATCAGCACAAGGAATTACCAAATACCCTTTTTCAATAACTTCAATATCGTAAGAATATAGATTATTAGTTCTCATACATGTACAACGGGGAAGTTGAAAATAAAAGATAAAAAATAAATCAAGCCTCAGCAACTCAACAATAATTTGTAAATACTTCAGACAGTCATAAAAGTTAAGTTTCTTCATGTATGGTTAGGGTCCAATACAAACTGTACATGTACCCGTATATCATATACATTGAGTGTGTATGTGCTCTCATAGATAGTTCTCATATCAGTTAGAGTGGTTTATTACCACCATGTTGTTTTCAGCTTTGAATTTTATTGCTTGGTCTGCTGTCATTGTCATGGAAACCATGTTGATACTCTGAAATTGATGAGTCAGCATCTGTCATTGTTTTTATTTTACCCAGGGTTTCAAAGTCTGAAGGGCATAAATACTGAATCTTTTATTGCAATTGTGGTCATGAATGCCTTATATTGGAAGCTGTTTTTATAAACTGAAAACGCAGTAAATCTAAAGGTAATTGTCAGAACTTGCTGGTCACAAGTAGGTGTATCTCCAATCTAAACACACTACGCCATTTCGCAAATCAATTGATATCAAGTTGTTCATCACTGTCCGCCAGAAAATTGCTTGAAATAATTTGTTCCTTAATCGAGCGTGTTTTTCTGTTTAGTTCTTACTTTTTGGTTTTCTTCTCCCTTGATGACATGTTTTATGCACATGACATTAAAGTTTACACTTTTTCAGAATTTGTCAAAAAAGAAGCAAGCAAACTTTGTCTATGCCAGGAAGTTTTTGTAGCTGTTAGATAACTAAACATACTTGCACATTTTCTGGTATTTCAACAAAACAGCATTCTTAGACTGAAAGAAATCAAGCTGAATCAGTTCATGTTCCATGAATCCACGGCAGTTCTCATTACTTTTCCCTGTATGCTCTCCAGAACGGAAATAAACAGTTGAGACTTGATCAATGTGTATTATACAGACAGTGAGTCAGCCCTAGTTTCCCTCTTTTTTTGACGGTTGCACTGTGAACATGTATGTAACCAGACCCAGTGTTAGGGTGACTGTACTCCAAATAAGGCAGATTTATTCTTCAAGGTTTTAGCAGAAATGTGAACATGATCCGATAAGGTGAGCCGTCAGTATATCTGCCCGTCAGCAGTACCGTTAACACGAACCTGAGGAATCATATAATGAACCCTAGAGAGCACCTTGACCAAATGGTGTAATGGAATCCGACACATATACCCGGTAGGGTGTAAAAATGTACTGTTACACATATCTTATAAGGGGCCTTAATTAGGAAAGGTACGGTACCAGTCTGATCATGTTACACAGAATCCTGTTGTCGTTAATTTCTGAGTGTTGGATTCAAGCTTTATTTAGTGTTATGAGCAGGTTGGTTTGTCTGAAAGATTGACTCTCTTGAGGACAAGCTTTATGTTCAATGAATGTTCTCAAAGAATCAGAAACTCAGATTGGTTCCCATGCATCCTGCCAATTGAACTCTCAACATGACTGTGTCTATTCACAATTTCATGTGCGTGTGGATATTGAAATGAGATGACCTTTGCCAGAAATCATAAGGGCAACATATACATGTACATGTATTTTGTATTCTGCTATTGTATTATTGTCTGTTTTTAATTTTATGGTACCCGTGGAGATTGTCAAATAAATAAACAAACAAACATGTGCAAATGTACATGTACTGGTAATAGGGAGTTCTCAGAATCTTTATCAAAATGAGAATGTGAGACAATGTGAGAATTTTGGCTATGGCTGTGGCTACACTGGTACCATGCATGTACATGTACTGTACATGAAGGTTTAGTGGCTACAAGCAATTCCCACAGAGGTGGGTGATATGTGTTAGTCACAGTCAGAAGTTTTTGACATACATGTAACCTTTCACAAGAACAAGGAATCAGTCTGTGCTGTATAGCTTAATTCAAGCATGCACCATATTGATGGCAGTGTAAGTTAATCAGCCCATGGAGGAATTTGATAGACTTTAATTGCTGGCACCGAGCACTCTGTCAGCAGTTGTGCATTCATCCGTAGACAATCTTCTGAACCATCATGGCTGCTAAGGATGCTGTTTCTGGGTGTAAACGTCAAATAAACGAAGTATGGCGTTTAATTTAAAAGCAGGAGCAATGTAATTGGAACTGTAATGGGAACATGGCTAGCTGTGTCAGAACTCTGAGCTTGCTGAAAGTTCCATTGGATATACTCCATGTACCTGTTCTTATCGGAAAATACACGCAGTTCCCCTCAGAACAAACCAGTTAGCAATGCCAGATGTTGCAAAATAATAAACACACTAACCAAGGAACAGCGTGATGCACCTCCTGGGAACTGGCTAAAATTACTGAGTTTTCCTTCCAGAATGTGTCATGTTTCGAACAAATCATTAGGAAAGAAGCAGGAATGGTACAAAGTCTGAAATGCTTCCAGCTCTGGGGCTATGTCCAAATCAACTGGCTGCGGCTTGGAGTAACACACAAGCCTATGGCAAGTGGCTGAAGAAGCTGCTTGGTAGTGGCTTTTAGCGATGTGTGTGTTTTTCTAGCCGCAGCCGTAACATTCAAACACAGCCTTAGCTGAAGATATGAACAGTAAAGCTGTTGACAGAATCTGAACTGGCTGTTTATTGTTTCTTTCACTGGTCCCAGGCATTGTACTGGTAGCCATCAACCCTTACCAGCAGCTACCACTTTATGGTGAAGATGTCATCTACGCCTACCGAGGTCAGGACATGGGGTCCATGGACCCCCACATCTTTGCCGTGGCTGAGGAAGCCTTCAAAAAGATGTCCAGGTAGGTTGGAAGCATTCAACAGACCAAACCAGAGATAAGAGCACGGTACAGTTAGGAATCTCCCAGTTGCTATGGAAGCAGAGTGCCATTACTTGTCAAAGAGCCAGCTACTGGTAAATGTATCCCATGATACAGTAGCTTGCACGGTGCTTCCTCCATTACTGGGGGCCATCAGAGTGGATAGTGAAGTGACCTCATACTCAGCTGAGTTCATGTCCCCTCTATTGATTGTAGAGACCTTCTCCAAGAACTTTCTCAAAATGATCATGATTACTGTTTAGTGGTTGTTTTGGCATCATTTAATCCCACTCCTTGATATGAACAGTAGTGAAGGCTTCACAGTGTCTGGGCACTGATTTGGGGTTTTAGTTTTTGGAGAGGAAGGTCTGATGAAGTGGTTAAAGAAGTTTTAGTTTAGTATTGATTTCAAACATTTTTTAGAACAACGTTCAAAATTCTGGATACGAATGAACTGTGCAGAAGGATTTTGACAATGTGTCAAAGTAACATCTTTAGAAACTTAACATGCAAACAGTGATTTAAAATGCTGACTATAGGTACCTGAAACACTTATTGACAGCCTGTTGTTTTATCTACCACTTTGGGAAATAAAAGCAATGCCCTTTTGGTTTTGGATCAAATAGTACTCAAAATGCCTCACCCGTGTCATTCTATTGACGTTCAGCTGGTCGTTGTCAACCTCTGCCATATGGTGTACATGTACCTGTACATTTCTTGTCCAATTCTGCGGCAGTGAGTCATGATATGTGTACTGTATAAAATGAATCCCCAGAACTGACCTAAATGATAGAGGGTTTCAATTTCTTTATTTCTTGCAGGTACATGTACACAGGTTTGGTCTAAGCACTGTTCTTGTTGTTCATATGTATTTAGATGGGCGGGGTTTTGTCCCTGGGAAAAAATGCCCCCATGGCTGTACCTGTACATTGACATGTAGATTGCAGGTAATGGAGCCAAGCATGCAAATGAGGGTGCTGTCCAGTTTATCAATGAGAGTAGGGGGCGGCTGGAAAGTATTTCAATTGACTGGTTCAGATGTGCTGATTGAGATTAAGTTGTGGAGAAGATGTTTATTTTGGGAAAATTTGAGTTTTAGTATACCGTACTTACCAGTTCTTGTGCGTCCTCAGAAAATTTTGTTGCTGTCGCAATGATCATTATTTAACATTTAAAGTCTCTACGACATTGACTCCTGATGGTATTCACAAATCGGCCATATTGAATTGAAAGCGAAGTCAACTTTTTCATTTAAGCAATGGAGTAGAAATGAAAGCACTTCAGTACATGCTAATGTCACATATGCTGATGAATTTAAATTTGTAATTTATAATGATATTTAAGTGTTTTAAGCCATATTGAAAAAAGGAAGATGGAAGTAAGGCACGGAACCTACCGGTACAATGCCAAGTGGTCTGTCATCTCCCCATTCAACAGACTACATTAAATAAGATGGCTTCCCCGTGAACAAGGTTTTCTGTTTTTTACACTGTGGGGTTCCTGGAACTCTGGCAGTACATTTTGCATGTATTTGGACTACACTCTGTGGGGTCGACGTACCTGCAGCTGTAGAGTTGCATGTATTTGAACTTCAAGAACATCTTGCTTGTCACAGTTGCACTGCATACCTGGTATGTAAGTTCATCACAAGTGCAAAGTTTTTCCTTTTGCTGTCCTTGGAACATTTTTTTTTTGTTCTGACGGAGAGCTGTACTATCGTTGGCATTATTACCAGAGAGGTTAAACAGCTATCAATGGGTATTGCTAGCAACAGTGACATGATAAATATTGACCCGTCAGAACAAGGCTACTGGCAGAATGCTGTATCTTTTCGGAAATTTTGCTGGCGACGGCAAAAATACCCACTGCCTTAATGTATTTTTATACTTCCTCTATTGAATTTTTTTAAATTATTGCTGACTGAAATCTCTTGTGGGTAATTCCTAATTGATTCAAAATTTTGCTTACATCATAAAATGTTAGAATTGTTTAAAGTGTGAAGGTGAAATATAGAAGATTTATGGTGAAAACATTCTGTCAAACATTGAAACATGCCTTCTTCAGATTGAATTGATAATGTGATGCAAAGTTTTCCAAACTTACGTCCTGAAGCACATTCAGAGCCAGGTTATAGTGGCAGTTGAAAAAATCTCACCCAATAATGATCCATTAATATTATTCGTTACATGTTTGTACAGAAGATATGGGTACATTTGAAAAAAAGTCCACCTTTATTTAAAAAAAAAAATTTATAGTCGGCTGTTTTAGCTGTGAATAACTTAAGCCAGATCAGCAGGGAAATCTGGATCCTGTTTTATCACCAGTGCCAAGCCCGGACGTCGATTGGAATTTGTCCAAGAAGATCTCTTGTGATTGTACAGATTTCCAGTGAATGTTGAAATGATGGGTAGGGATGCATGAGGAGTGAATTGAGAATTTGGGGGAAGGGGGATTACTTTTTGGAAATGGTAAATGGAATGGAAAGGAATGAAGGAACTTGTTAATTTGTGAAGGAATTGATGTTGATGGGAAAGGAAGAGCCCTGTAGCCATACATAAATTCTATTAAATGCAAATCAACTAACCGTTGGCCAGTGTTGAGGAAATCTGTGGTCCAGGGGGAAACTTTTTGATCTGTACCTTTTCCCTTTTTTTGTACATGCCTTGACATCAGTGAAAGGAGCAAGTTTCTGGGAGGAAAGATGGAGAAAGAAATATAAGACATGGTTTAACCTCCAGGTAGTCCCAGATCCTTCAAATCCTTCAGGTGGTTGGTGAGATTTTATAGGATAATAAGGATGGTAGAACCTAGCAACTTTTTGTATTCAAGTCCAAATAATGCACCACCTACATGTACATGTATGCCTTGCAGAGAGGAAGATTTGGAAAGAGTTCTGGGGGTTCCTCACAAAACAGGCAAGGGTTTCTGTTGAGAACAACAGTGAGGTTATTCTTAAAGGAACATTTGTCATCTTGAGTGTCATCTTCCTTCAGTGTCTGAGACAGAGATCCCTGGAGGATCTTTTCTTCAGCAAACACCCTGCCTTCTTCCTTCCAAACAGGGAAATCACTGTTATATTTACACCCTTTGCCCTGTGCCTGCAAGTCACAACTGTTGAAATCATCAAAAGTGTACAGAACGTACACGTTCGAACATGCAGCTGGCTACATCTACATATGCAGCCCAGACATAACAACTTGGTCACCAGACTGGGCTCACAGCCAGGAATGGCACTTTCTGAAGGGAGTGTTTTTCAAAACCAACCTCTACAGATTGAAATGTCATCTAGACTAACATACAGACACGTACATGTATGCTGAATCTGAATTGTTGGCTATGGCCGGGATTAACAGGCAACTATAGGCAGTTAACAGCCATTGGCTTTTGTACAGTATGTACATGGTGCATTGTACAATGTAGGTACTGTACATGTACTTGTATAAAATTTTGCTATTCATAGCTACTTGAATGCGTTGAACAGTGTTCAATCAATCCTACTGAAGGGGAAATGGAGGCTTTGGATAAGTTACACTTGGCCTTGGGAAAAATAGACTCCATCATTGGAGAGGCAAGATAATGCTTAACCCATAGTGCTTTGACATTTCCAGTAACCAAGTGTTGAAATTTTGCCCTGCTTGAATATATGCAGATTTTAAGAACTACTGGGGGTATCTGGGGTTGTCTCAGTGAAGTTGGTGCAATCTCCCTTGGGAGACTAAGCAAGAACGAAATCTTTAACCTTTGCACATTTTATATCAGTGTGTACCACTGCACATGTATTCTGTTTGATGTCTTTGAGGTCTGTTTGGCAGTGGCTTTGACACTCAAGAGCTGAAAGTCATGGACATGAAGGTGGAGTGTGTCATTTCTCACTGGTCATTAAAAAGTGCAGAAGTACCGGTAATGTAAAGTATACACTAATGCCCACAAAAAAGGTGACAGTTTTGTACTTAAAGTTTGCTTCAATGGAACAGATTGATCATAGCAGAATTTGGCATTCATGTATGTGTACAGTGCACTTTCAAGTCGTTAAAGTCAAATCAAAAATCAAGCGCAACTCCGTCACAAGCCTCAATCACATAACCACTTTCCGGTCTGTCACCAGTCAATCACAAGTTTATCATAAGGCGCTCAGACGTCAGTCACAACTCTATTGCAGGTCAATTACAGATCAAGAACAAGTCGATCACTCTCCACGTTTCCAGTCAGTTACAAGTTATCACAAGACAAGACAGTAGAAGCCAATCACAACTCAATCACAAAATCGAGCACAGGTCAATCTCAAGTCCATCACAAGGCAGCCGCACTTTCGCACAAGGTATCAAGAGTCTGGTCATTAGTAATAGCGGATGAAGTCAGTTTGAATTTTGATATTCTTGTGACTTTGGACTAGAGAAGTTGTGGTTGCACATACATGTGCACTCAATTTCACCCTGCTGATTTGTTCGTGGAGCTTTTATTTGGACATGCACATGCACACCCAGGTCTATACACCTGGCACATGTAGCTTGACATTCCATAAAACAGCTGCTTGTGCACTCAAGAATTGTTTAGATGGAAACCTTGTGGGAGGAGGGTGTTTGAGAAAGGTCACCGTTTTACATGTGACATGCTACACCAGTGGTACATACAGGTACGTGTACATGTGGGTAGGCATTCACTGCGTTAAGGGGACAAGTTCTTTTGTTAGGGAAATTTGAACCGAGTTGTGGGGACATTTCTGAGTCCCCACAACGTTTTTGGTCCCCACAAAATAGGTGAAATGTCGAGTGTATGTCCCCACAACTACGGTGCGGGAGTGTGTGTACATGTGTACATGTACATTATGAAATGATTGCTTGCTGTTACACACTTTCAAACTTAATTTACTTACTAAAAACAAGTTCTATGATGTAGCATACTGAATAAATTGTCTCAAGTATGTGCTCATGGCTGCTTAAAGACTTGTCATTTACACGATTTCCAGTTCTGCTTAACGTTAATATTATGCTACTGCAGTGGAAATCAAAACATACAAACATTGTTATTGGTGGGAATCTTGTTAAACAACAAAAAATGTCAAATTCATTAAATAAATTTTAAACAAGTAAGTGAGGAAATCATGCCCTACAAGGTTTTTAAAGAGTTGCTAACTGTTAACAATACCTTCAAATCTTTTCCAGCTGGTTTTTATTTTCTTTCAAATGAAAAACCACCTGCTTTACATTTCTTAAACCATCCCAGCCTCCATTCATATTGTATCAATTATCGTCTCTGCCCACCTTCTGTGAGTCAAAAGACTGAAACCAGTCTGGCCCCGTCTTGCTTGCGCATGTTCCAGTATGCCTCTCTGTCCTTTCTTTCTTTAGTCCTACTGTGCGTCAGTGTACGTCAGGAGAGACTGCTTGCCTGCCAGCTGAGTTTATAATAGCATTTTGGAGAGGTTTTTTAAACTGATAAGGCAGACTAAGAGAGCAGTACCACCATGGCTTTATTTTTACCCATTGACGTGTACTGGTATATCACCTTACTCCCCTTTCCTAGCAGACAGTTCACTGGATATTTTCCCTTATTTTCCAGAAAGTATTATCCTTGTTGCCATCTTGTACTGTTGGAAAAAAGGTCGCTGAGGAATGCTAGGGATGTTGTATCTCTTATTCTTTCTAAATGTTGGTAGATTTGATTAGTTACATCCTAGACCGAACACGGTTTCTTTGAATTGGAGACTGAAAAACTTGTATACATATACATGATTTGTGAAATGACTTTCTTAATGTAACGTAACGTCAATGCTTTCATAAGTGAAATTATCAGACCATCCCAGGAACAGGAAAATTACAGATGTCATAGAGAATAACCATTTACAAAACTTCACCAGCACTTGTGAGAAAATCCTGCCAATTTTTTTTTTAGGGTGAGGGTCCCAGACGCTTTGAAAGTAATGACTCACCCTTGTTCTTCTCTTCTTTTCCTTTTTTTCTCTTCAAAGGTTTGATCAGAATCAGTCAATCATCGTCAGTGGGGAAAGCGGAGCAGGAAAGACTGTGTCTGCCAAGTATGCCATGCGATACTTTGCTACGGTGGGCGGTTCCTCTGCTGAGACTCAGATTGAGAAGAAGGTACTCGCATCCAATCCTGTCATGGAGGTAAGTCCCAACTCTTGATGCTATCTAAATAAAATCTTTTCAAACTTTAAAGGAAGATTGCTTGAGGTTTGGCAAATGGTTGTTCCATACATCTGTTAAAGGTCAAGTTGTATTAGGCATTGTTGTAGTCAAGACCATCACAAGACCAGACACAAGACCATGCACAAGACCAGACACAAGACCATGCACAAGACAGTCACAGGTTACTGGGTGAGCAATGACAATGGAATGCTTTTGTTGTAGTTCATTTGAATGGCTTGTGATTTGAATTCAGACTGGAGATCTTGTCTTGTGTGGTCTTGTGAAGGTCTGAAGTGGTCTCGACTACAACACTGGTGGCATGTTGTTAAATAATGTTGAGGCAGAATGCTCATCAAATGTTGCTTTCAGGGACAAGTGTTTGCCTCCATTAACATGGCAATTAATCTAAAAGCTTCAAATTGAAATACTTTGTTTAATTACAAAGTGACTGTCTCCAAGTTGCAGGTCACATTGCAGCAAGGAAATAATACAGAAGGGAGAAAGGAACTTTAATTAGGGAATAAATATGAACTTGGCTGGTCGTAAACGTTTGTTTCAGAACCGATCAGGAGAATGGATGCCATATACACGTATGGCCCAAGTCAAAGATGAGGAACATCGCCAGTTTCCATTCTCCTGAACCCATCTTCAACATGTACATGTAAAACATGCCCAGCACATATTTATTCCCATTCTTAAATACCTTTTGAGTCAGAAAATAAAACAAGTTTAAAAAAAATAATAGATTTGCAATGATTTACATGTAGTTCAACAACTTTACCCCAGTTTTTCAAACATCTTACGAGCCATATTGTGATACGTACATGTATGCGCCACTCACAATTAGTCTCCCTATCTGAAGATTTACATGTCCTTGGTGTGTACTGCATGATTTTCAGAATGCGATTAGCCAGTGCATTGTGAATTTGGAACTCTCAAAATGCGGACTGTTAATTTTACTCAAATGGAAGTGAAGACTGTTAAATTTGAACCAATACAAGGGAAAAGGGATGAAATGTTGTAGGAGTCTAAATGTCATGTAAAGAGTTGTGTTAAGACCATCTAGATGGTGCTTTATCAACAATTTAAGACTGTCCACAAGACAGGCTCTCAACAAGTAGGAATCTGTAAACTGTCTTAGGTATTTGTGAATATTCTAAAAAAGTTCTGGGCATTATATGGTCTTCTTTTTGTGACATCAAGTTCTGTTTGTAGAGTAGAGACTACCGTACCACCTCGTGTCAATTCTCATTGATTCAAACCATTCCAATTTAATTGTTGACATGAAGTGTGACAGAAAGTTTATGAGGTAAGGTTTATCTTACAGTGATTACTTTGGGATGTCGTAAGTGGCTTACTGTCAGAATGGGAAGCAACTTAAGCCGTCTTGATAGGTTTATCTTGTCAAGAGAATAGAAACTTCACTGACACTTTCCCTCTTGATTAGCCTTGGTCAATCCGTGGTCAATCCGTGGTCAATCCGTGGTCAGCTATGCATGTACGTGTACCATCATTGGTCACTTCCTAATCTTCTCACTTACACTGTAATCCAGGCCATCGGTAATGCCAAGACGACGCGCAACGACAACAGCAGTCGCTTTGGCAAGTACATTGAGATCAGCTTCAACACTCAGCACCACATCATCGGTGCCAACATGCGCACCTACTTGCTGGAGAAATCACGGGTTGTCTTCCAGGCTGAAGAGGAACGCAACTATCACATCTTCTACCAGCTGTGTGCCTCAAGCCACCAGCCTGAGTTGGCACAACTCAAACTCGGTGAGTCGTTCAAGTCAGTGAGACACTCAGACTGCTCCCTACCCACTGTAAAAGTGAACATGAACATGCAAATTAAAGCAGATACATGTATTCACTGGAGCAACTCACAGAAGTTGATGATCAAAGTCCGGTGTAGTTTGCTGTGAATCTTTTGTATCCTAAGAATTTATTTTACTTTCATGTTTTTGTCAAGTATAAACCAACGTTTTTGGCGAAGATTTATCTCAATCTTGGACATGTCTTCTGGCCTTTTTTCAGTTTAAGTGAGCAGTATATTTCAGTCTTACCCTCTCAAAGCCTGGTTTCAACTTTTAATTCTTCAAATTGTCTTGATTTTGGGACTTTTTAGAAAAAGTCTGACACGTGGTACAGTGTATGTACATGTATGTACATGTATGCTTCATAAATTCTGATTTTGGATGGAGTTTGTCTGTAAATCTCAAAAATGGATTTGGTGTGGGTTGTATGAAAGGAATTCTTTGTATACCTTTTTGCAAAGTTAACTGATGTCAGTTGCTTCCAACAGAAATTATCACTAGTTTTTTTCACAGTGGCAAACAGCTTCAAAACTTATGCTGGATTAAGAATGTTTAAAGTAGCAAAGACAGTTTATCACTTGGTGAAAATAGTCTCAAAATACAATCTATTTCAAGCAGGCGCAAGTAAAAGCCCTTAAGAAGGAAAAAACTAGATTCTTCATTTTTTCACATGTACAGACACGGCCCTACCCAGCTAGAAATAGACACTAAACATGCAGCAGTTTCTATCCTTTAATTTAATTGATGACTACAAATAATATTTTAGTGTTACACTTTTAACATAAAAACCCCATTTTTCCCTCAGATAGTAATCCAACTTAGGGAACAAAGACCAGTATTGATATTTAAATGTCAGAAGGAAATTGTTTGGTTCCCTTCCTCAATTCTGATGATAATCGGTTGGCCAGACCTGGTTTAGACTGACTTCCTGCCCTGGATGCCGTAATACAGGATGCGGAGTAACGTCAAACGTTTCCTCCAAAGGCTGCTCACGTGAGCTGATCAATTACAACTGAAATTGGGGAGGAAATTGTCCCTGCTGTAGCTTGCCAGCAAATTTGCTGATAAAGTAGCAGGATAAAGCTGCAGTAATTTGTGCAGAAGTTCAGGAGAACATAAGCACTGATTTGGGGGTTTCAAAAGTGTTTTTTCACTTATGGAGGTACTTCATTTCAGTTTGGAATATACTTGTAAAATGTGTCACGAAGCTGTCAATGAATATACACGTACGAGTAATATCTACTGAAAGTTGTTGAACACCAAAGACCAACGTAAGACTTCTGGTCAGAATTCAAGTCACAAACTGTTCAAATGAGCTGCAACAAAAGCATTTGTCATTGTTCATCCTGCTTCACTGTGCCTTAAAATCTGTCACCACACAGACATGGTCTGAGAACATGGACAGATTCAGGAAGGTTCTAACAAGAAGCCCTGTGGAGTTAGGGCTCACATCTTATATCTTTGTTTCCTTATGCTCGTGTATATTTGATTAACATGAATTCGTCATTAGAAATAGAAACGTGTAAGCCTACAAGCCTCATGAGAAATTGATTATAATTGACATCCGTTCACTCCCTCATCGACACAAAACCCAAATTAGTACACTGGAAAGCAAATGTCAAAGGGTGCGCACATTCTTTTGAGCTCTGTGGCTGGCTGCAAGACATTTCCTTTTACACCTGCCGGGTCTAGATTTGACATTATTTATAAAGTAAGTGTATGTTAAGGGTGAAAGCTAGCATGCAGTACAGCATGTATGACACTGGAAACCTGTTTGACGTTGGATTGTCTTTGACATCTATAGATGTACGTAAAGCTGTTGAACTGTGAAACTTGAAAAGGTTTCTAGATTAATATAGTTCCCATAAAGTTGGTACATGTACACGTATGCGTATGAAGTATACCATGTCCACTTTTAAAAAGAATTACTTTTTTCTAGTTGTTACTTTTTTGTTCAATGTTTACTGCTCCAACTCTTCCTCACTACAGCCATTATACTTCGTAGAGAACTTTTACTGTTGTAAAAATCTTGAAAATGACATGAGGTTGTCGCAAGGGAGTCATACCAAGTTGGAATGTTTCTTGACACCAAAAAACAATGATGAAAGAATGCTGGAAGATGATATTTAAGTAAAACAAATGCAGTCTTCCTGCAGGTGGCAAGAGACCAATTCATAAGAATGTGACAGTGATGGTCCTTTCCGAATCATTGATTTCAATTTTCTTCCTACAGGTCACCCTGATGAGTTTTTCTACACCAATCAGGGAGAGAGTCCAACTGTAGACAGTATTGACGATAAAGCAACATTTGAAGAAACAAAAGATGCCCTGACATTGCTAGGTACAGTACCTCTCAAATTGGTGGTTTTCTCTCCTGCGTTGAAGTGAAGGTTGTACTAAGTTCAAGCAGCTTGTGTATGGTGTACCTGAAAAACTCTTGGTGCTACAGAACAGGTCAGAATTTTAGCTGACAGGTGAACACGCTTAGTGTGTCAGCGTGTATCCAGTCAAAAAGACACGAAAGGAGTTAATCCCAAACACGAAACACGCTGACCCCTGCATAACAGAGAACGCCGATACTGCAATCCGATCTGCTGAGTATAAACATGCACACGCTACACGCAAACCCTAGAACAGCCAGGCCCTTGTTGACTGGAGCAGTCATTTTCCTAGTTTGCCACAACGAAAGGTATTCAGTTTGACTGCAGCTCAAGTTATCCAGGGAAGTGTTGTCAGTAGTTTACCTTGTATGTAGCAGGCATCACAAAATCATTTTTGTTTATCCATAGAGGATTGATGAAAGTGCCACGCAGGCAACACTTTTGGTTTTTCCCATCAGTTTTCGACCTTTGAGCTGGAAAACCTACATGTACCATAAAAAGTCGCTCTGATTGTGACAATATTAGGACCAAACTGTATGGCAAAGATTGTACCAAAATGAAAGGAAGTCAGGTCTGCGCTAGCAACGTGCATGGACTGGCTGCGTACAACGGACAAAGTAGCACCCATGTGAACTTCATAAATATGCATGTGACATGTAATGGCTGTAGCTTTGCATTTGTTGGCGCTGTATCGAAATGAATATGCCATACACTTGTTTGATTTATGATTGATGATTGGGATGAAAGTGCTGGGAGGGTTGTAGTTTCGTGATTGCTTGGTCGCGGCATGGTCAGCGGTCGCGGCACGTGTGGCATGGCAGCAAATGAAAAAGTCAAGTTAAATTTACGTAAGTTCAGTGGGTGTTTTTTAATTTACTGGAATTGTGATACATGAACTAAATTTCCATAAACTAAGAAATACTTCATTGTAAAATCAGCTTGTTATAATAGTTTTGGCTAAGGAATGGATTTCTTTCGTGGTTCCTGTTTATTTGTGAAAAAGTTCTTGCGCAATCGGGAATTGCTTAAAACCGATCTAGGATTAGAACCAGCAAGAAAAGCATCGTCATCACACACAGCCAAACACACAGGGTGGACTACTGGCCACTATGTATTTTCCAGATGTAATCTGACTGAACAACTTTCACGATCCAAAACAGAAAGAAAACGGCCGCTATAGTAATACATATTTCGATACTTCAAGACGGTCATCTTGCCAGCCAGGCACTGTACGTGATTTCACAGTGTACATTGTACATGTACATGTATGTACATGTACAAGCATACTGAAGCTGGCTGGAGCGACGGCCCTGCGTGTGTAGTGGTTCACTGGACGTTGTCGGTCAACTTTGCGGTCTGCGGTCACAAGCCCTGCCGAGATAATGAGGTCCGGGGTCAGGCTAATCGTGCATTGGACCAGCAATGCATGTAAAAAACGCAAAGCGTGTATACAGACGATTCACAATAGTGCGCCACCAAGAGTTTGCAACGCATTGGCAAATCACAAAGCGCGAGATTCATCGCGCGTATTGAACAGCGTGTCAGGTTCACTGATAGTGTTAGTGTGTCGGCTAAAATTCTGACCTGTACTGTATTCAGTTTTGACAATGAAGGAGCAAGGGTTGTTTGATATGTGAGGTTAATGGTACACATACCAGTCCAGCAACCTTACTATTGATTTACGGTGTCATTTATTTTCAAAGATTTCAAAGTTGACAAATAATGGTAAATATTAAAGTGCATTTCTAAAGTATCACAAATGATAACAGATAAACACATTGCCGTGTTGGTGAAAGTTTCATTGATTGTTGCAGTCGTTAAATTTGTTGAAAAAGGGTGTGGTGGCAGGCTGAGCGCAAAATGTGACAAAGTCCAGCATGATTTAAATAAATAAATGTTAAGTTGAGAGGAAAGATTTCTAATCATCACTGCATGAACTGAAAACAAACGAGAATATTTTCTCTCTGCTTTGAAGCAGTAAACTGGGCATTAAAGCACTGATGGAACAAACGAAATTTCTCTTAAAAGCTTTGAAATCAAAAAGTTAAATCTTACATTGTGAATGAAGGAGACGTGCAAAGCATTGTTGATGTTTTACTTAATTAACTCTCAAGGAGTAAACATGCTTGCCTGGGCTTAAATAAGGGAATAAATGTGTGCTTTGCCGGTCTTAAATGTGCATTTAAGACCAGCTCAGGAGAGCGGACATGACTAATGTCCGAGCTGCTTGCAAGGGCATTATCAGCAATCAGTATCCTGAGCCGGCCAAGCGCATACATGTCTGTATTCCCATTTATAAA